TTTATATATATATATATATATATATATATATTTATATATAAATAAATAAATATCGATTTATAGAATTTCAAAAAATAATATGAATGATCTTTAATATATAAGTTTTAATCCTATTTGATCCTTGATATATAAATTAATGTAAATAATCACTTAATATATTGCATAAAGTGATCGATTTGATCTTAAACCCTACAAATAAAGACTATTGTTGCTTTTGCTATCAAAATAAAAAAATTAGCTCCTCCATATCTTTTTTCATACATTATATACTTTAGGCTATATTAAAGATATTCTAAGCTTCCTTTTATACTTTATTATATATATTTTATTATAAAATTATACATAATTTTTTAAAATCTTATCTTCATATCAATTTTTTTTCTCTCAGGATTCATTTAAATTACTATTAATAATTTTAATATGAATTTAGATTAAACAATACAAGAAGGTACATTTATTTTGTAGTTTGATAGCTCACCTATCTTGGACTTCCATTTATTTTAAAAACAAAAAATAAGTGACTCTTAATTTTTACTTTTATATTTTAAGGCTTACTATCAAATTAATTTTATTTTCTTAGTAAAGTTTTATACATGTAGTCATAACAATTTATATATCCTATTATATCATTTAACATTATATCATATTACATTATTACAATAAATATAATATTTAAATTAAAATATTATTATTATTATTATTGTTGTTATAGCATGTCACAAATCAATAATTTTTAATAACAAAACTTTAGAAAAGTATGATACAAAATAAAATTACCATAAAAACAAAACAAAATAGAAATATTAAGTAATAAGTAAAAATAAAAAGAAAAGAAAATACTAAAATAACAACGAGTTCCATTAAATCAATTCTTTTACATAATTTTTTTTATCATAACTCGATCAATCTAAATAGAATTATACAATACAATTTAAGTAACAATTAAAATAAACGTAATATTTCAAACAAATACTTAATAAAATACGTAATGACCATCAATATCAATGACTGAATTTAAAATCTGAAGAAATAAATATATAAACTAATCTAATAAGGTTTAACATCTATATATACACGAATAAATTTTCCGTCAAAGAATTTTAAGTATTCTAACTCCGTTACTAATTGAATAAGACGTTAGTCTAGGTGTACGTAAATTGACCCAAATATATATATATATATATGTAAGAAAAAAGAAGGGAAAAAAAATATATGTACATAAGAAGAAAGGTGTGAATGAGAGTATTCTTGATTTGTTCTTGTTACTGTGTGTATTTGTGTGTGTGTGAGAAGAAGAAGAAGAAGAAGAAGACGAAGTCAATTGGGTGGGCGACAAAGACAAAGCAACTAGTATTATACTGTTTCCATTTCTTTACAGTATAACAAGACTTTTCTCTGTACAATAAACTCTGATTCATTCAATTCAATACAATATTTTGACTCCCTTTATAGTCTTCTTCAGATCACCATTTGTTTTACACTTGACGAACTTTCTGAACAAACCCCATCAAAGTATTTACTTTTCCTGCCGATTTTTGCTTCCAAGGTTTGATTTTGCCCCCTTTTTGAGTTTATTTTTGTTGGGGAATCTGAGGGATCGGTGTTGATTTTGGACTTTTAGCATGGTTTTTTGTATTGGATTTGATACTATTGTTGTTTGGTTTTGTGGGGTTCTGTTTAAATGCTTGAAAAAGGGCAAATCGAGTTGAGTAGCTGGTTTTAGTCTGTTTTGTTGTTCAATCTGTTGAATAGATTTGTGAGCAAGTTTGGTTCTTGATTTTTTTGATATTTGTGTAGCAGTTTTACTGTGATTTTAGTTTCCTGTCTTAGTTTTGAGGGGTTGATTTTTTTGATTACTGAGGAGTTTGCTGTATTTTCAGTTTGGGTTGATGTTATTGTTGTTGTGTTTTGGTTTGAGGGTGGTTAGATTGTACTGGACTAGTGAAATGTGAAGTGGATCACTTTAGATTCTGGAAGGAGGATTGTTTTGGTGTAACGTGAATAGATAATGAAGTCACTTAAAGAGAGGAAGAAAAGGTCTTTGTGGAAATGAAAAGCAACTCGATTATGGAGTTTTCTATTGTTTTCATATGTCTAAATATTGTATGGAGGGTTCAAAGTAGTCATCTTTGTGGTGCATTAGGCTTCTAAAGTGACTCTTTTTTCATATCTTCTGAAGTGAAGATACCAAAGATTTGGTCTTTGATCTATGCTTATCACGAGTGTGAGACTATTTCAGGTAGCAACTGTGATTTGTGAAATCCAATGATATGGTGACTATTGGTTATAGAACACAATAAAGAAATATAACTATGGCAAAATCGAGTAATGGGAATGTTGCGTGTCTTTCTCGATGCCAACTCTTTAACAACCCTGGTTCAATTGAGTATATAATATATCATGTCATGTTAGGTTCAGTCATACTGTTGGTCAACTATTAACATTTTCCATTTTTGTCTTGGTTAGTCTATGATGTTGGCCTTCTGTTTCTCTATGAGATGTTGATGTGCTTAATTTCTTCCCTCTTGCATGCTTGTCATACAAACATTGAATATATGTCAGTAGAAGCATAAGATAAACATTTTCTCTTGTTATTGATATTTCACCTAGCCCTTTTGATAATTAATGATGACAATGGATAAACACTTTCGATGTGGAAAGGGATTGGTTTCAGAATCCTTTTGAATTGTGTATTATAGCACTGATGACGCTCCTGTTTCCTTGTTCTAGAGACACCAAATATAATTTATTAACTTCTTGACTAGTATTTTTCAGAATATCTCACGGTTATAAGAAGGATAACTATGAGCTGCTTCGGTTGTTGTGACGATGATGACATGCATAAACCTGCTGATCATGGACCATTCATGACCAACAATGCAGCAGGTTAATTTCCTCCTTGTACTATTTGCTATTAATAATATTTTCAGACTCTTTGAAATAATAAATTCAGCTGCAGTAGAGGAGCAAGAGGGTAGTGGGTTTCAATCCTAGTATCTCCTGGATTAAAGCTCAACCTTAACCACTGAATACTGATGTATAATACATTATCAGTACTCAGTAGAGTTGGGAACTAATAGGCAAATCTTCCTATCAGGTCTATAAGTAAATTAGTGCAAGTATCTTGGAAGTTAAGAGATCATGATGTTTGAATCTAGTGTCGTTGTGACCTGGTATGGGAGATATGCCTGCTCTGCAAACATGTCTTTCACCTCAATCTTACAGTTTAACCTTGGTAAATTTTGAAACAGTCAGGTGAAAGTTGTAGTGTTTAGTACATTGCTTTGGCTTTACGCCTATCCTAAATATATGCTTTCTTTAGATAGTGTCATGATTTTACTCGCTGAGATTCTATTAATTCTTTTTTTTACCTGTACGATTTATGGTTTTCACTAACTGGAAATCTTTTTTTAGGCTACAATGCAGGGCAGCGTGTAACAGAAAGTGCGCAAAGGGAGACGCAGAATGTTAACATCCTGCCCATTGCTGTTCCTTCTATAACTGTTGATGAGTTAAAAGACATCACAGACAACTTTGGTACAAAAGCCTTGATAGGTGAGGGATCGTATGGAAGGGTATACCATGGTGTCCTGAAAAGTGGGCGGGCTGCAGCCATTAAAAAGTTAGACTCGAGCAAGCAACCTGATCGAGAATTTTCAGCACAGGTCAGGTCGTTTGGATTGTCCTACTTTGAACTATTCTATATTATACATAAACCTCTTACCTTGCTTGGATATGATGTTACCATTTCAGGTTTCCATGGTATCAAGACTAAAACATGAAAACGTGGTTGAGTTACTCGGTTATAGTGTGGATGGCGGTCTTCGTGTGCTGGCTTATGAGTATGCCCCCAATGGATCTCTCCATGACATTCTTCATGGTTAGTTTCTATAAGCCTTTGTGTATCCATTCTATGCATGTTGACCAATTAATGATTTGGTTGTTCTAATCTATATATACCGGTGAAATTCAGATTTGGTTGTTCTAATTTATATCCATCTTGGTACGTTGAGTTTGGAAATGATTGCGCAATCCAAATCCAACTCGGTCATGCGCCTTCCCTATAGTGTGCACTTTAAGTACTTGACTACTGCACCCTCAAGAAGTTGTCAAAGCTCCTCCCCCAATATATCCCCTTTCTTGAAGTACCTCACCAGGGTCTTTTTTGACATGTGTCATGGAAGTGTCATGTAAAGTTGCTCTAATCAAGAGTAGACTTGCACCAACACTTCCTCAGATTTTATGCTACTAATTGGACAAACCCTTAAGTATCTCCTTCTTAATTTCAGATTTTATCCTTTTCTTCTCTGTTGTGCATATACATTTCTTTCTCTTGTCCTCTTCTCAAATATATATTTCATTCATAAGTTCCATTTGTTACGTACTTGACTGTGCATATAGTGAAAAAGTTTTCTACATATTATATTGGTGGTGACTGGACAGACTTCTGAAAATGATAAGTTGTTAAAATGGAAAATGTCTACATATAAGTTTTAAGTTCCTCAGATTGAGTAGCTATTAATCCTAATGACAATAGGGGTTTGAACTCATGCTTGCTTTAACCTAACCTACTTGGATCCAGATTTTGGTATATTGGGTTTCAATGTATAATTCTGTCCAATCTGGTTCAAGACTGTGTTAAACATTTTGGACGTGTAAAATTGGACAGGAAGTGTGCACTGGGTTAAGATATAGGGTTTACGGGATATCTGAAGGTAGAATATTATTATTTTTAGTGTGCTTCCATTCCCCTAGTAGCCTTTTGATAGTCCAAACTTGGAAAGACTGCTGTCACTAAGGTCATTGCGATTGGCCCACCTCATTTATCAGATATCGGAAGGATAATCTATCAAGGAAGTAGGGAGAGGAAGAGAGCTTGAAGTGGGTTTCTACATCATACTGATGAAGCTTTATACGGAGATGGTTGTTCCTATATATTTTGACCCAATGTAATTGAATTTGATTGCAGTCGCGTAAGATGCTCTTCTTTTTCTTCAAAATTTAGTCTAACCCACCTTTTTCTCATGTTAATTTCAGCGATTGGCACTGCTCCGTTAGTAGGTAAAAGAAAAGGATAAAATCCTAGTATCTTGGAAGTCCATCATTATCCTGCCAAATCAATTGCATCCTTCCTCTCTCTCTCTCCCTTATATGTAAATTCTAATATATGGGAACAGCTCCAAAAAGTGATGTTTTGGGGTTGTATTTACCTATCCATTTCCACTATGTTAAGCAAAATAAAACTTCTGCCGTGCAATTGCTGTTTAATGAAAATTGTTGTCATTTGCTGACAGCATGTTGTATTTCTATTTAACAGAGCAAATTCCGTAACAAGCCTTTGTTTTCTCTTACAATTTTCCTTATTTGAACTATTTTCTGACTACGAGGGTATCTATCTCTGTACATATGCGTGTGTATACATATTCCTGTTTTATTTGGAAGTTTTTGTTGTGTTTTCCTTCTTTATGTATGGCTGATCATTCTCATTTTTTTTACTTTTCTGGAACAACTATTGATTGTGATGGTTGTCTCAGCCAAGTTAATGTGTCATCTCATACTAATGCTGAAAACTGATCCGACTACCTATTTTTTCAAATTGGTTGTAGCAGCCTCAAGCTACCTGGATTATAAATTATTTTTTTGATGACAAAAGAAATATAAAAAAATATATTCCACGTAGCCTGGGGCTGCTACAATCAATTTGTAATTCTTGAAATAGTTAGTCAAATTGGGTTTCTCATATTCCATAATCTTGCTAATCCAATCTGTAAAATGCAAATAACTTTTCAATTTGTAATTACAGGACGAAAAGGTGTGAAAGGTGCACAGCCAGGTCCAGTATTATCATGGGCCCAACGGGTTAAAATTGCCGTTGGAGCTGCAAAAGGGCTAGAGTACTTGCATGAAAAAGCACAACCACATATTATCCATCGTGATATTAAGTCTAGCAATGTCCTACTCTTTGATGATGATGTTGCTAAGATTGCGGATTTTGATTTATCAAATCAAGCTCCTGATATGGCAGCACGCCTTCACTCCACACGTGTTCTTGGAACCTTTGGTTATCATGCTCCTGAGTGAGTTCACTTCTTAATATTTGATACAAATAGACTGTAAACTTGGTTAACTCACTTAAATGAAGCAATTTTAGCTCAGGGCCCAAAGGTCCTTCATTTTTATGCTGAATGGACTTTGCTCATGTTGCAGATATGCAATGACTGGTCAGCTGAGTTCAAAGAGTGATGTTTACAGCTTTGGTGTTGTCCTCCTTGAACTACTCACTGGTCGTAAACCTGTTGATCATACATTACCACGTGGCCAACAGAGTCTTGTGACATGGGTATAACCCTCAAGATACTGACATTACTATAACTGATGCACCAATTTTTTAGTTGATTATTTTGATTCTGAATTGACTTTCTGCACCATGTGTAATCAGGCAACACCGAGACTTAGTGAAGATAAAGTGAAGCAATGTGTTGACGCTAGACTCGGTACAGATTACCCTCCTAAGGCCATTGCAAAGGTATGTCACTAGAGCAGAAAATTCTTGACTACTAAAATCATAATCCTGCATCTTCTTACATCTCTTCTTGATTTTTCATCAATTCCTATTTCTCAAATTTTGTGTTGCTGAAACAGATGGCTGCTGTTGCTGCTTTGTGTGTGCAATACGAAGCTGATTTTCGGCCAAATATGAGCATTGTGGTAAAAGCTCTACAACCTCTTTTGCACGCTCGACCTGCACCTAGTGAAACATCAAACTTGTGATTCTCTCCTTTGCCGCAGCCGCTACCAAATGGAATGACAGTGATTGAGATTTGTTTTGTTGAGTTGAAAATGATATTATACTAGTAGTTATCTGGGTAAATAGCAGACATAATGTGCTTTCCCCCCTTCTTTTACTGGTCTCAATTGAATGTGAATAAATTTATACATGTACTAATGAAAGTAGCCTTTGCCTATTCTTTTAATGGATATTATTCTTGAGGTCTTGAATATCCTTGTATCAGTTAAGTGGAGATGATCACTATGATAAAAGCTGAGACTATTGAGTTTATAAGTCGAAAACAAATCGGCTTTTCCCACCATTGGCATGATTCTTTTGCTGATTAGGTCAAGAATTGTGTTTGGCTACTGACCTATCATGATTGAACTTACAACAACAATTGTGTTTTCCTACCATATAGGTCATACAGAGATAATTCTCAGATTTCCTTCAAGTTGTCTCTATTGTCCCATCTGTGTAATATTGAATGGTGGGAGGCAATGAATGGCCAACTTGTACATATATCTCAAATATTTGTAGAGTAGCTAGCAATTAGTCAATGAGATGAGAATATAGTTATATTAGCTGTTTTCATTTTCAAGGTCAAGCAAAGTTTAGGCAATTGTGGAAGTCCCCACAAACTACCCTCTCAAAACTAAATGCTATCAACAAGTTGGGTACAGTGTTGACATCTATCACTGGGAAGTGTACATATGTCCAATTTTGGTGTCACTATCTAAGTTTTGTCCAAAGTTGTATAATTTTTGTAGGTCTATTCATTTTGGAACAACTTTAAACATATGGTGTGAAGTTCATATGATTGGACTTTTGACACATAAAAATCCAATCATTCTGCCTAAAGCTCATGCACACACATGAATGAAGTTTAATCATCTCAGATTTGATAAGCCAAGCTTCAGACGCCACATATTTGACTTCAAAATTGAGTACAATTTATATAATTTTAAGATACTTTTTTACTCTATTCCTCAACCTTTAACTATGCCTTGATAGGAAGCGCTCCCACGGAAAATGGCTGTAATTCAATGATCACAACATAAATACATATTATCCTTGTAAATCTTGTAAAGTTGCTTACAACTAATTTTCTTCATAAATTATGCAGAGTAATGTATTCCCCAGCAAGAAGCAGAAGAGAAATGGAAAAAACAAATGTCCTTTAATAATAATTCATGTGGGATTTACTCATAATTTGAAGCTTAATCTTGACTAAAATATGTAGTGTACACAGATTAGCATTCAAACGTCCAATCAATTTTCAGATGGTGATATTTTTTTAGAAGTATCGACAAACAACAATACAACTTAACATTCTGATACCAGAACAATAAGAATAGAATAAGCCATGAGAAGGCAAATATACACGACGAACATCAGTAACACAGTTCAAAATTGATGACGACTATTTCTGTTGGAGTGCTAGAAACACGTATTAGAAGTATGCCGGTGTAATTAGCATCAAGGATTTGTAGATGTTTTGTGAAACTTGCCTTGTTTACGGCACATCCTAATAGTTTTTCCAGAATGGCAGGTACACCTCTCATTAAAGATTCCAATGCTCTTCGACTGGTCAGACGGGAAACTGGTAAGAAACGTTTCGTGAACACTATAGCTTCAATGCCTCCTTTGCTTTGCACGCTTCCTTGACTGTGGACCTCTGTTCTTCCACTTGTCAACTCCACCTGGCCGATTGCGTTCTTCAATCTCGCGAACTTTGCGTTTCCTGTGTAGCATATGAGGTTTAGAATGATCCTTAACAGACCTGTTAAAAGTAGTTGCAAAGTTCCTTTACTTCTATTCATGTTTGTGGCGTACCTGTACTCCCCAAGTTTACGGTCAGAAAGTAGCTCCTCAGTAAGTGTTGTCTTTCTCTCCTTCTTAGTCAGTCTACCAGAGTAGTATTCAGATGCTGGCTCTATTACTGTGCCGACCTGCTCAAATTTCGAAAACGTCTACATGTTACCTCTAACCAACAGGATAACAAGATGTTAATAAAAGAGAGTGCATGACAACAACAGAACAACAGATGCCTGTACGGTTGTTCAATTCTATCTTCCTTCGATTTTAAATCTTTCTGTTCCTTTGCTTAATCATGTGAGATAGGGGAAGCTTATCATCAGGGTAATCATGCATAACCCTGCTAGTGGTTATTATCAGGCATAAGCTGGGGTCTGGAGAGGTTAGTGTGTATGCAAACCTTACGTCTACCTTGGGAGGTAGAGAGGTTCCCAATAGACCTCGGCTCAAGTAAAAGCATTACAAAGCAGTTCAAAAAAAGAAAACAACAGGAGTAAAGTAGCCAAGACAAAATGCTATAGAAAACATGGCAAATCATACTAAAAAGAAACAGCCACTACATCAATAATTTAGAAATAATATTTACCTGGAAATATTTAGGTAATGTTTTTGATTTTGAGCCACTCTTCTTGTAATGCCTTTTCGGATCCATGGCACCCCTTAGCTGAAACAATCAGATTTTTAGAACTGCGAACTTACTCATAAGAGAAACGATTGCAATTTAATTAGGCATACATACAGGAAACTCAACAATATATCATAGGAAAAGGTGATCATTAGACATGATTAAGTCTTCAAAAGTTCATCTTCACTAGGGACGTCAAACTGTGCTGAAGAATTCTATTATTTGTGTACACTGGATGGAATTTAAATTTTTTTGTTTATAACTAGTGAGATCGAACAATAACAAACGAATGAGAAATTTCAATTAATATGTCACTTTACTCTAAGCTTGTCTAGAATTTGTAACAGGGAAACCATTGAGGCCTTATACCCTCCTTTAAGACCATAAGCAAGTTACTCCAGGGAACACGACCTAGAGAGTGGAGCATGAGAAGAGTTGCATTTTTCAGAAATATTTGTAGGAAGCTTATACACATTTCAATTCTACCTATCTTACTGATCATGGACACAATCTTCAGATGAATAGATCATTTATCAGCAGCAGTGTAAAATGTTCTATCTCTTACGTTCTCTCTCTCGTTGCTCTTCCTCAAAGAAAGGCATTCATTGATTTTCAACATCTTACAAAGCTATGGCTCTTAAGGTAGACGAGCCAAGAATCTTAGAAATCAGACTGTGATTGTTATGGACTAGTATCAAGATCAAATCCTAGACAAGGGATCTACTTTTAGCAGCGGAATAGTAACAAAAGATGGCCCTCCATGTATCCTTTTAACAATAATGTGAAGAAAAGCTTAGCTAAGTCGCAACCTCTCATACGTAACGAAACACATTAGCCGATCATCGCGTAGTAAAAATGTTCAAGTAAAGTGAGAGACATTGTCATTCAAAGAATCACCTTTAACAGCTGGAGATCTCTTTTCAGCTCTGGAGTAATCGTTGGGGCAGGCATATCAAACCTATTTAAATTTCAGAAACAGTAAATAATATTCATAAAAGGAACAAATTTACAATAAAAACACAAGAATTTGAAAAACTACAATTGAGATTACCAATTTTTGCCAGTTGTATCCTTGATTTGTTTTCGTAGAAGCTTGTTCACCTTTTTGGGATCATTGGGCGGAACAAATAGGCCGTCCATGAGTTCCGAACTAGGTTTGTATACTGCACTTGCCCCAGGCACCTCATTGGAGCTCTTTTTGGTCCCAAATGATAATTGAGGTAACTTTGGTTCCCATGAAAGCCCAATTACAGGCTTGTTTTCAGGCATATTGAATTGCTACAGACCCACAAGTTTCAACCTAACCTGTAATAGTTCCATAAATAAACAACTTTCGGCCTAAAATAATTCGTACACAGTACAACAACAAGATACCTAGTGTAATCCCACCGTCTTACCCCTACCTTATGAAAGTAATAAACTCTCGGCTTAAGTAAAGTATATCAAATAATGGATAATATGATAATCAGAGCAAAGGACACAATGAGTAACACCAAAATCTAAAAAGAGTAAGATAACAGGAAACTAATAATAACAATACATAGAAGTATACTCAACTACCTACTAACCTTCTACGCAACCTCCTATCTAGAGTCATATCATCGACAATCATACACAGTACATAATAACTAAAAACAAACCTGCCTAACTAAATTCAGTCTATATGCAAAAAAAAACTAAAAAAAACTATGAAATTATAACTATCCAGTTCCTCTGGCAGAGTTTTACAACCTCCTTATTTTCTACCTATTTCTATCCACGGGTGGCTCAACCCTAAAGCCCCAAAAATCCTCCAAAAAAGCAAAAAAAAAATTCAGTCCAAAAAAGAAGCTTAAATACACGAAAACATACCGAAAATGCAGAAAAATTCGAGCAAGGGGCAAGATTAAACGAAGAAGCAAAGCACTTAGCAGACAAAATATGAAGAAGATACATACCTGAGAAAACCAGACCTGATGAAGGCGATGTAAAAGAGAAGCACACTTAAAGCAACAAGAAGAAGAAAAAAAAACCCTAACTAGAATTTTTTTTAAAAATATGTATTTATTGTTACTATTAATTAAAATTTTCTCCATTAATTTTACTATATTGTCCTTTTTTTTTTATAATAAATAGTCTCTTAAATAACAAATATTTTTAAATTGTGTTTAAACTTTCAAAAGGTTATTTCAATGGTAGGGTAATATAGGAAAAAATGTTTGGTAAATTCAATCCTAGTGATCAAGTAAATAGTAATATGTAACAAGTGTTTTAGTAAGACAGTCTAATATAAGATAAATGTATTGTCTAGGGTGAGTTATAAGAATAAATAGTCTCTGAATAAGAAAATATTGTCTTGTTTGGGATAATTTATCTCACCATTTATATCATAGTGATGCGATAGATTATCCCATCTACATAGTTGGATAAATTATTTCAGGATAACTAATTTTGAGATAATATGTTTTCAACTAAATGAACAGTAGTTTTGAAATTTTATTATTGATGTAACTACAATTGAAAGTCGTACACAATTAATTTTATAGATATTTTCTATTTCTTAATTATTCTAATTTAGTTCATTTTGTATCTATCATGTTTTAATATTGACTCTTAAGTCTGTCTTCAATTTTTTAAGATGTTTTGTTTAACATTTCAAGATCAAATTAATTAGATTATCAAGTAATTAAATTTAAATAAATGTTGTCTTTTAAGTTTGAATGTCTTCTAAAAGTAACTATCATTATAATATTGGATTCTGTAATTAAAATTATTACAAAATATTATATCAGTAAAAAAAATATACTTTATTTGACATATTCAATGAAGTGAAGTCTTAATTTTATTTTTAAAGACTTTTAGAATAACTTGATAGTTTATATAACAATTGGCTCTACTGAAAAAGTTTTCTAAATTATAATCAATAAGAGGGATTTAAATATTTGTGTTTAAATAACATGTACAATAATTTATCTATGTTTATTTTTGTCTTGCCAAATAGTACAAGATGTGTTATACTGTCAATTGAAAAAGAAAAATAATTATTAAACTATAATAAATTGCAATATTTAGAATTTATTGGAAAAAATATAAAAAAAATTCAATAAATATGATATATTATATTATCTATTCCAATAACTAAATTAAACATCAAATTCTACGTATAAACTACTGATTTACTGAAAAGTTACTGTGAATTTAGTGTCCAGATAAGATTGATGGTGTTTTAAATGATTTAACCTTAACTCAAAAACAATTGACATGCAAATTTAAATACTCAATATAGTATGAGAAAGAAAGAAGACGCGAAAAGAAAAGAGAATATCCTTACCAGAAATATGGCTCGTCGGCACCAGATATGGAACATAGAATTGGACTTGGAGCAACCATTGCTAAAATGAAATGGCAAAATCAAACAAAACATATATCTATGTAATTGCAACCGTATTAAACAATATAGAATTGAATTATCAAATTTCTATATGAATCATAATTTAATAATTAATTTATTACAATTCAATACAAAACTTTAAAATTACGTGATTATTTTATTAATTTATATTGATTAATTGTTTTTGTAATATGAAATATGAAAGATTATATAACATTATATATTAATAGTACACAACATAAAAGTTTATGATATGGGTAAAAAAATGTATTTATAAATACATTTACATTGTTATACAATATTGTGCAAACTTTGACAATTGTACCACAATAATTACGCATCAAATTTTCTATTTCCTTTTTGTATAAAAATGACATTGTACCACAACAATTACGCTTCAATTCTAAAGCAATTCAAATAATATTATATATGTCTCTCTGCAACTATAAAGATAGACGTAAAATCTACATATCCTATCCTCCCCAAATCTTGATACATTGTTATATTATGTGTGCCAATATTTACACAACAATTGCAAAAAAAAAGATTTTTTTATCTGTTATGATGATAAATTAATCTTAAATTCTACATAAAATTATGTTGCAACAGTTAAATAAGCAAGATGAAAATAAATTATGTAGATATTTATTCAATATTGATCATAATAGTAATTAGTTCATGTTAATCTTTTTAAAGAATCAATTATAACTTACAAAAAATCAAAACCAATCTCACAAAAGAATTACAATTTTTTAATAATTATAGAAATACTTGAAAATCAAGACATAACTCGTAAATTATTTAAGGGAGATAAGTTAAGTCAAACTCCAATTATTTATTGATTTATGTATTATTGCTCACATATATAATGGTAGCTAGCTAGAAGATAAAAAAAATATAGATGGATAACAATTTGAATTTTGAAAAAAAGACACTTTAAGAATGATATAACTTTCTCAATAAAAATTTTATTAGTTTAATTGATTTAAGAATGATATAACTTTCTCAATAAAAATTTTATTAGTTTAATTGATTGACTCTTCAAAATTTTATTTTATTGATAAGGGCTCGATTTCTCTGATAAAAAAGACTATTGTTCTCTACCCATCATAAAGTTGAATTTGTCAACTTGCAGTGTTAATTATTGGTAGAGATGCTGCACAATTCACATGATCCTCCATGTTGGTATTTTTCTGTTGCAACACAATTAATTTCTTAAAAATAAATATTATAACGGGAGCCTCTCTATCCCACAAAGATAGGGTAAAATCTACCTACATTTCGTCCTTTCTATATCTCACCTGTAGAATTACTGGCATGATTTTTATATAAACAAAAATAACAACCTTATCACTATTTCATAGAGAATTTCCGATACACTCTTTGCCTCAATATAAACAAGGGAATCTTTTACTTTTTTCTTTTATATAGTTCAATGAGCTCAATCATTGTTAAATAAAAAATATGAGATAGTGCAAAACTCACAAGTCAGTAAAGGCCATGTGCAAAAGTAACTTTCTCTTAATTACATAAAGCTGCATGAAGCATTATTATTATTATTTTTTTTTCAAAAAAGGACATCTTGCTTGGAGTCTTTCAAAGTAAAGACCAAGTTACAAATAATTGATACTACAGAATACAAATTTTGCTAAATTTACAAATCAACTAGGCTACTATAGCCATGTTCCAAAGAAAATATTTGCCTAGAGACTAAATAATAGACACTATAAGATACAGATTTACTTGAATGTACTAACTTAAAAGGCGATTTCCGCCATGTTGTTCCTTACTGTACACTTTAATCTCGCGAAACTGATGAATCAACCAACCAACTTGAAGGGTGTGCTTACTGCTCACAACTCCTGCTACTACTCAACAAGAGCAGGAGAATAGGAACAAAAAGAACGAAAGAATGTATCCAGTCACCGCTGCAAATGGTCTAGCTATCACAACAAACAGTAGGTAGGAGCTCCTCATTACGGTGGACTCCCAAATCATTCGATAACCTATTACACATCTGTGGGATTAAAGTGATTGAGTTAGTTTAACATGTGTTAAGTTGTAACAACGTAGACGAGGATGTTGAGCTATACCTGTCTATATACTGTTGAATCCCCTGAAGACTTTTGTAACTCTACAACATACAAGGATGGGCTAATCTCGAAGACCTGAAAATGATGCATAGGGAAAATTACTTTTGTTTTTTTTTCTTGTTATGGAAAATAAGGGAGTCATATGCCGCGAACATTGCTTACCTCAGCAACTACCAATAGACTAGCCGGGTTTTTGTGGCCTTTCTGCTCTTGCATCACTTTCAACTGCAATGTACAAAGACATAATACGGAACTTAGTTTAAGATTAAATTTTCCTTGTGTGACAGCGCATATACAGATTGATGCGCCAACAGTTATACTAACCCTTCCGTGTCTTTTCTGGACATGAAATCCCATCTGTGTCACCATATTCTCAATCCTCTCCAACAACTGTTTTGGAGAGAGACTGGATGTAAATCTGATCTTCCTCTCGGAAACATCCTAGAATTATTCAAGAAGAAATAAGTCTATGTTTTATGATATGTTCCTTGCATAATACAGTACAAATTTGAATTGAAGGTTACCTCTTTCTCAAAAAATCCAGAAAGATCCAGACATGATGACATTCCTATAAGTTCAAAGGCATTGATAAGGCAAGGCGATTCGGGATCTCTTTGAGCATCAAGTGGCTGTGACAAGGATATAGCAAACAATCAGTCATTAAGGATGAAAGGATTAAAATGCTTGAAATGAACCAATTACTCTAGGGTCCAACGTCCATACCAATTCATGCACGGTACAGACGTGATCATCCGTTTCATGCACGGTGCAGACGTGATCATCACTTTCCAAGTCTTCATCATCAGTGTTTACAGGTGTATAGTCTTGTTTAAACCATGCATCTTCTTTGATTTGTGCCATTGTTATACGAGTATGCGGGTTGGGATCAAGAATCCTCTTTATGAGGTTCTTTGCTCCTGCAGATAGCCATTTTGGTATATGAACTTCCCCCTTAAGTATCTGATTTATATTCATCAAAAATAATATTAAAAGTATTAGCTTTACCAAATGTCATATAAAATGAGCACGCACGCATAAAACAGAAGAAGAAATTGTCTTACCTTTTGATAAAGTACGGCAAGATTTCTATCATCAAAGGGTAAATAACCAGTGAGAATAACATATAAGATAACACCACATGACCAGGTATCAGATGCCGCGCCATCATATCCTCTGTTAGAAAGAATTTCTGGAGCGACATAGTTTGGACTACCGCAAGTGGTGTGCAACAATCCGTCATCCTATAGTTAAGACAGAAAAGCTCAATAAGATTTAGGAAACTAATTCACATATGCAACAAAGAGAAGCTGGTATATTCCGTACCCTAAAGTGTTGGGGTAACGCACTGAGCCCAAAGTCCGTTATTTTTATGTTTCCCCTCAAATCAATGAGGACGTTTTCTAGCTGCATTTTCAACACCACACATGTTACATGACTGAATAACAGCTTATAATATTTATGCTACACACTATATAATTAGTTACCTTGAGATCTCTGTGGAAGACACCTTTGTCGTGACAGTAACTTACGCCATCAACCAATTGTTGGAAGAGCTTCCTACCTTGGGCCTCTGAGAGTTTTCCTTTGGAAACCTATGGATAAGGATTATAGTCAAGGCAAAATTCAAGATTTGACATACTATTATTCACAAAACAGAATATACAGTCAAAGCAACTTACGATTCTGTCGAATAATTCACCCCCATTCACGTATTCTAGCACCATGAAAATCTTGCTTTTGCTCGCTAAGACCTGCTTAATTGTATCGTCTCGTTAGAAATGCATCATAACGAAATACTACTAAAATGAGGAAACCCATGTATGGATATCTAAATGTTTGATAAATATTATTATTAATATTATTCACTCAGTTGCCACCATGAAGCAGCATTTGACAAGCAACAGAAGCCATCGTGGACGTTACATCTTGACAAACTTCTCAAGGAAGAAAACAAACAACTTTTTTGAGACGGGAACGTAATTTATTTAGATTGAGTAGTTAGTACGTCAGTAGGTTTAAAGTTGTTAATCCCTGATTTTGAACTAAGACCAATTAAATCTTGATCTACCAGGCCAGAATGACTTAATATTCCAGCAAAAGACTATTCCTTATGCTGCACCAATAAGTCCAAGAAAAAAGACAAAACAAAGTTGTCACCTAAGTTTTTAAGTCTTTGGATAGATCCATCTTTCCTCCTCCATGGTCCCAGACAAAATGGACCCCTTCTCATATACAATACATAACCACAAAAATTAATGATATGAAACTTATGGTTTATCCAGCATTTGTTAACTTAAAAAGTTGGGAAAAAGATCCAATTATGTGGGGGGTCGAGATGGCTCACCAATTATTATTTTTCAACAACCACTAGATGAATCATCACAATCCCCTTAAGTTCATACTTTGAAAAGTATTCTTAAAATTCAGTAGACTTTTCTGTGCAATGTATTTATGCCTAGTTGAACAATAAAGACAAGAAAATTGGAAGAAAAAAAAAACGAATCTTTAGCCATGAAAGAGTGAGCATTTGTTGTTCTTTACTTCAACCAAAAATGAATTGGCTAATTGTCTATACACAAACCAAATCAGATTCCAGGATGTTTTTTACTCATTGTTTTCGAAGAATAATACGAATTATATAATATAATCCACTTTATATACTGAATCTTTAGGTGGAAATACTTTATCACCACTACAAACACAACTTGTATCCGGAAAACATTTCAATACCTCAACTTGTGTATATTAGGAGTTTTTTATGTTCAAAAGATAATAATATTATTAAAGTGATAATATTCCGAGTTTATTGAAAGAAGGCAAAAGGAAAAGGAGAAGGATGGTATATACCTCGTATAATCGGACAACGTTAGGATGTTTGAGGAGTTTTAAAGTTCCAATCTCCCTCTTGATCTGAAATTACACAAGAACTGCATAAGCTTATTTAAGTTATTTCAATTTTCAACTTCAAAAGTATAATTTTTTATATGATTATCTACTAAGAGCTTCAACACAAATACTTTCCACAAAAGTAGCAACGGTTCAATCAAACGATAAACAACAACAACATACTCATTCTAATTCTACGAGCGGGGTAGAGAGGTAGTTTCCGATAGACTCTAGACTCTTCGCTCGGAAAAAAAAGTGCTATTAAACAGTTTACAACTATACAATTTAATAGTTGTTGTCAAGTTGGACTGATTCATTATCCAATAAGGATTTGAACCACCAAATTTAGCTAACCCTTTTAACTTTTAGCTGCAGGATTTAGTAGGAAATATAGTGGAAGATGCGAATTCTCACCAAAAAGCAGTAACCACCAAGCAACTATAATTATAAAATTGAAGATTCAAACTTTTAAGACTTTTTAGCCATATCTCTAAATTTTTATGAGCTCAGAAAATAATATTTGTGAAAAATAACATGATTAAGAAACCCAAAAATCATGGTGGCTCCAGCCTCAATGTTAAAATCAGTAGAGTGAAAACAAAATTACTAGGTTATTTCTTCTTATTTGTTCGAGCTATCGATGAGCAACAATATCATATTAAAGTAATTTTATTAGAAAAATAAAATATACGCACATCTTTTATCTCTACCGAACTATATCCCAATAGATACAACTCAATTACCTGGATACCACAATACCAAAAAAAAAATAAAAAAATCCCTACCCATTTTACTTTGAGTTAAGATTTATCGAAAATAACGTATCTAAACTTCTCGAACAAATTGAGATACATAATGTCTTTTCCTAGTGAAATTATACCGGATACGTTGTTAAACAGTAGTTCCGTCCAACTCGCCGGAAACGGGACTTGGTCGGAGAAATTAGGAAGAAGATTTTTTTATAACGAAAACACCAAATGGAAAAAACCTTCAAGAGGAAATTGGTACTGAAAATCAACTTTCACCATGGAAATGAAGTTACAAAACTAGAATTACAGTAGAGAGAAAAAACTGATCCACTTTTTTTTTTTCCAGAAAAATGGGGAAGAAGAGATTCACATTATTTTTGATAAACTCTTTCCATTTCTGAAGAACCCAAAAACCCCAAATTGAAAAAAAAAAACTCATCCATGAACACAACAGAAACAGAGATTTTTTTTAAAAAAAAAAAAACCTGATCAGTAGACTTGAGGTCAAGGATCCGACTCTTCTCCAAAATTTTAATGGCGAAAGATTGACCAGTCTCTACATGTCTAGCATACTTCACTTTACCAAAATTTCCTTCACCAAGTGTCTTCCCCACTTCATATTTCCCTAGCCTCATTCCCTTCTTCCCTGCACCCACCCTTATTTCGTCTTCCTGTTGTACCAACACCATTACCAAAAATGACACCAAAAATTTTTTAGTGAAAATGGGTATATGATAATTTGAAATTTCAACAGAGAATAAAAAGATTGTTAAATTCTGAGTTTTTTTTTTTGGTTTTAGTATGAATGATGAAGAAGATTAGCAGGTTTTGTGTTTCCTCTTCTTCTGTGTTTTGTGTTAATATATATAAGTGAAGATACATAATCTCTCACTTTCCAAATTTTGTTTGGCTTCATCTTAAATTAATTACAATTATATAAACCATATTATAAAATATAAAATATTATTTATCGAAAATAGTCTCTTACACCTGTCAAATATGCTTTCTCTTGCTCTTTCGGCAGATGTTTAGTCATGCGATATCATATTACGATATAAAATCGTAAAATGAAATTAACGTTTGAATATGTAATTTTACTTTACGCTGAATATTCTTCAAGAATCACGATATGATATTTTAATATATTAATTGTTTCACATTTTGTTAAAACAACTCAATATAATATATCTATTAACTTTTATTTTATACGTAAATAAAATTTATGATGACATGATTACTTTTTAAAATTTATTATTCTCACTAACATATAATCACATTAATTCACATCAATCTGTTGTTGACTAATATTAAAGATTAGTACATTATAATTTATGTTTAATTTTTTTTTAATTGAATTAAAGTTAGATGAAACAATTATTTAAGTGGAGAATAAATAACTCTGTAATAATTTATCATGCAATTTTATAATTTTTTATTTATTTGATAACATTGAATAAACAATTGAGGTTATTTTAATTGTTTTACAACTTATGAGATTTTTATGTTAATAACAAAATACACAAAATAAAATTTTTTATGTGACATGTCCAAATAAAACTTTAATTTTATCTCATAATTTCATAAAAAATAGTAATAAAGAAAAAGAAAGAACACTAAAGATAGTGAAATAATGTGATAATTTGAAGTAATAAAACATTATAATGATTTTATGGAAATTGAAGAATGATATAATAATTTTAAATTATTTAATAAAATTATAATAAAATAAATATTGCACAAATTATTAAAATGGACAGAAAATTATGTATAAAATGAAAAATAATAAAGTGGGCCACCTTTTTGTCTGGACCACCCTGTTTATCCACTAATTACTCCGTTTTTTCTCCCTTAAATGAACTTCATTAATTGCCACCAAAAATTAAATTAAAAAAATTATTTTTTTATTTTGACATTTTTAATCATTGAGTAGTTATTTTCCAAACTAATTGAAATAAATAATTAAATTTAACTTTTTTAAATATAATTAATATTGAAAAAGTTAAGATAAATTTACTAATATTAACATTATTTGGCAATTTGCAAATTTGTGAACACAAACGAAACGCGGAGGCTGTACCCCACAACCCACTTTTAAGTATATTTTTGTTGTTTATATTAACGGTTAGCGTAAATTTAAAATTTAAACTCTATAAATTATTTGATAAATAAAGAAAAATATGTGATAGGTTGTGGTATTTCTATATGGGATTGATTTTGAATCTTTAAATAAATTTTATCATAATCTTTATCAATTTAACATTTTGATATTGAGTCAGATATAATTTTAAAATTATAAATTAAAAATCTAATTTTATTATAATTTACGCTAGAAATATGAGATTCAGAAAAATCACACGTTTTTAAGCTATATTTGCATCAGATTATTTGGTTGGTTTACTTTTAGAAGAAGTATAAAAAAAAAATTATTTCTAAATTAACCAACCTCTCTATAAGTTTGGTATCAAGAAAAAATAATTATGTTGGTATGTTTTTCGAGAAGTTTGTAAATACGATAGGTATATAAATTAAAATAATTGTGTTTATAAATACGTTAGCTATATATAGATATATAAACTAATGAGATTTATGTAATTTGTTCATATTTTAAAGTATCTTAATTATATTGTTAAAAGTTTGTATTGTATTTTAAATCATTTTCATCATTTCAGTTTTACAATTTATTAACCTAAATTTTAGCTTAGATGGAAACATATAACTATTAAAAATCCTTAAATCATTAACTTCTTTTCAATTTTTTGCTGTTTATTACTAAATTTTGGTTTCGATAGAAGCATATAACTCTTGAAAAATCTAAATAGTATTAAAGATAGAATAGAATATATACAGGTTTTATATATATAGAAAATTAAAAATTCAACGAAAATTAAAAGATTATATATTTCAAAATAACAATAAAATAAGTTAGTAAAATAATTTACTGTTGATCAATCAAATGGATGATAAATATTATCCTAAATTCTACATAAAATTATGTTACACCAATTAAATAAGCAGGATAACTATAAATATTTTTCAATATTGATTATAATAGTAAGATATTTATGTTAATCATTAAAAAAAATAATTAATTGTAACTAAAAAGAATAAATTAATCAAAATCATTCTCACAAATGAACTACTATTTTTAGTAGTTATAAAAATATTAAATCATACATAACTCGCAAATTATTAAAAGGAGATAAATATTTATTCAAACTCAAATTATTTATCGATTTATGAATTATCGCTCCCGTTTATAATGATAGCTAGCTAGAAGATAAAAAAAAATATGGATAAGAATTTGAAATTTGGAAAAAAGAAATAATTTTGATTTACAATTAGGATTCTTGATGTTTTTGTTTTTTCTCTAAATGAAATATACTATTAGGATAGAATTTGCTTTTAATGCTTTTGTTTTATCATAAAATATTATTATCTAAAACAGGTAAATTTAAAATATCACGTTTTGTGCATAATTAGTAATATCAAATATTCATTAATCATATATGCATAAGAGCTATAGGAGTATTATGATAAAATTAATATTCATGAGTAATAAATAACTAGAAAAAACAATAATTGTGATTGCCTATATAATTAAAATTCGAACTTGCTTTTAATATTTTTTATCATGAAATATAATTATCTAAAATAGATCAAATTTAAGATATCACGTTTTGTGCACAATTAGTATATCAACTTCTTATATCATCAGTGATTTTATTCCTTCAATTTACAGAATAAAAAAAAATTAACAGAGAGTTTATTGTTAAAAGGAATAATTCGGATATTTTAAAGTAATTGCTTGAGAAAACAGAAATTTTTTGATGCCTATCAAGTTGGTTTTTGAAATTGTATCTCAAATCGACGGGCTTGTTCTTCTAGATTGAGATAGAGAAGACTTAGATTGTTCTTCAAAGAGAGAGAATTAAAAAGGAAATATCCGAACTACCCCTTTTAGCAGTGAACTCTCTGCTAATTTTTTTATGAATCTGTAAGTTTAAGGACTAATATCCCTTACTTGATATAATTAAAAATTAATAATGCTAAGTTAGATAACACGAGGACTAATTTTGATAATTATGAGTAAAAAAATGAAATTACTTTAATTATATGTACAATTTTACACATAATGATCTATATTTTTCAGGTACCTTGAAAAAAAGTAATGATGTTAGGTAGCACATTAATGAAGAAATGGTTGCCCACACAAAAAAAATGGAAGGCACATGGGGTGGTTGATATTGTGGTCGAGTTCGATATTTGATATTCGTATAAAAATTAATTAAATTTATTTATAAATAATCTGACTTAATTTTAAAAATAATTTTTTTAACTAATTATTTTAATTTTAAAAAATTATAATTCAATTTTTTTAATTAAGATAAAAGAAAAGACAGTCATGCCATCAAAATTTATATCGATAAAATTTAATGTCATTGTAACAGAATATGAAGTTTGCTCTTTTTAAGATCTTGATTAATACTTTGCCTAACCTTTTAGATGATTGACAATAATTTTTGGTTAATATTTAAAAGTGAAATATAGTCTTGCTCTTTTTTTTTTGAGTTTAGGTTTATTGATATTTTTCGTGAATTTGTTTCACTTAAACAATTAAATCGAGGATCTTTAGAAAATAATTGTCTATCTCCATAAGATAATCGTAATAACTATGTTTATTTTATTATCTACATATTCTATTTATAAATTTCACTGAAATTATTGTGGTGTTAAAATATTTAAAAATAATACTTTCGATGTATTGTTCATTAATTTCTATGTCTTTATTAATGTGTTGTTACTATTTATTTTCAGAAGCCATTTTGTTTCGTTCTAATAATATTTTTACACATAATATTTTTTTTTATTCAAATAATATAAAACAGAAAATATATATAATTAATTATATAAAACTTTTTTTTGGTATTATTCAACTGTTAATTGGCCCTACCACGTGAATCACGAGCCTGAGATTTATTCAAGCCCTTTTTTCCGCGTAATATTTTTTGTAAATTATTTAAAAAATATAAATATCTACTATTCATTTTCTGCCGTCCACACCCTTTTCTTCCCCAAAAATAAAAATTTATATAATAAACAATGTGGGTTCGTTGAATAAATAATCTTTTAATAACGGATTTTAAGTTTAAAATGTTCTACGTCTTCTGTTTCATTTTATGTGATAATTTTCGCATTTCGAAATTCAAATTGTAAGCTTTTTATAGATGTTTTTAACATTTTGAATTATCAACTTTTATAACTTATAGTACTCTTTACGTAGTTTATAAATATGTAAATTTCATTTCAAAAAATTTGAAAATTCCATACGTAAATGTCCGGTCAAAGATAAACTGTTTAACAGAGCGAGTACATGTTTTCTTCATCGAGCTTGTTACAGCGAGTTTCGATAGTGTGATTTACCTTTCACTATTAAAAACAATGTTTTTTTTCGTCATTAACAATGAGAAATTTATGCTATAAAATTTCACTCATTTTCAATTGAATCAGGTTGATTGAAAAATATAAGAATTAATTAAAAATAGATTATCATTCGAAATAGTGGAAGATTTCTTCTTCTTTTTTTCCTATGAAAACAATGTAATTTTTTTTTACCAATTCAATTAAAATATCTACGAATTTAACTATTGAATATTTTTCAATGAAAAAATAGTACTAGTATCTACTTTGTTATTGGCATGCTATATATTTAGAATTAGATTTATGTTATGATTTTGGTATCCGTTGTAAAAAAAAAATTAGAAATTGTAATGTAGAAAATAT